AAATAGGAAGAACATAAGGGTACCGGGGAAAGCCGGTGAAAGGACGAGAGTTATGAGAGGGAGTGGAGGAAGAAGGGGAAGAGGTGGAAACCGGTAATGGCTAATCTATGAGGGTACGATTGTCATTTAATCCTTCGCTCCATTCCGGCTTGAGCGGACACCAAACATAGCATGGAACCTCTGTTCCGTTTCGTCTATTTCGTCCCGTCTGCGTACCAGACGGTACCTAAGGTCCTTCTTATGACAAACTACACATGGAATTTCGAAATATAAGAAAATTTGAAGGACACACAATAGAGTTCAAATTATCTATAACACGAAAGAACCATACAACAATCTAGTGAGTGGCCCCAACGGCAAGTTCCTTGTATTAGTAAACGGTTACCCACTTCCCGTTCACATCCATTTTCATTGCATGCGGCGAAATATCTTGAACCCCTCACGAAGTCCCAACTGATGATCTTGGTTAAATTGATCACCCATTGCATCAATGTACACATCGGATGATATGAACTTCTCATTCTCTTTTGTCGCGATCATCTTCACAGGTCGATGAGCTCTTTTCAATTTCCACTTCAATGATGTGGGTTCTTCGCATGATTTTCCTCATACTTAATAATCCTCCCTACAATTGTTTCAAGATCATATTGCTCCCACGAACCTATGTCTTCGGTTCAGGAGGAGGTGGAAGGTGAGCAAGAGTGGAGAACCTGATAAGGTAATTTACTCGAACAACTTCCTCTTTTTTTGTCAGGCTCAAAACAATTAAGCGCAAGCGTACAAAATGATTCAATTGTGCAGGTTGAGCCCCCATTATTCACAATTGGAGATGATGTCTTCGCCAATGCATCTGAAAATCAAACTGACCCTGACACAAAAGTTGTCGTGGAAAGTCTAAGCTTCATAAGCATCGACGAGCTTTTGGATTCGGCAAGTGAGGTCACTCATACTGTTTCCGGTTTTTGGCTTTTGTAGAAATTGGACAGAAAATACGTAAATAAATAGACATTACATCAAGTTAAAAATAGTGCTAATTAAGAAAGTGATTTGTGTGTAGGTTTCGGAGTTTCGGAGACAACACAAAAAGTTGGACGATTATCAGTGTCAGTTGCAACAAACATGCCTTACATGGAAATGGAGCCAGTGTGAGGCCCTTCAAATGGGGAAGCAGCAGAAGTTGTCAACGTTTATAGTTGCTCAACAGAGACAAGAAAGTTCGATTAGATTTTCTAATGATTGCAACCTGCAGGAAAAGGAAACTCCCTCTCTTCTTCCGTTGGGCGCTCCTACAGTATTCCCTTTCCTTCAATCATACACCTAACATTTGAATTTTTCCACTAATTTACCATCTGTTTTCACATTTCTTCTCTTAGATATTATTGCACTGAATGCACATTGTGTCTTTTGCGTATTTTGAGTTTCCGTAAACCATCTGGGACTGCAGAGTGGAAATCCATTCCTTGAATCAAGTGCTATTTCACTCAACCAATCTGTTGGCTCTTCGATGCTTTGCGCAACTGAGTATCAGCACTATCCACACTTTCAGCTACCAGCATCAAGCCCCTATGATAACTTTTTAAAGGCTGATGGCTGTTGATCTGTGTAGAGAAAGTTTGATAGCCCTTGTAGCACGTAAGAAATCGAGTGTTAGCAGCATTGGTGCGAGCGGCAGTTGTATGTGCAACAACCTTGTGTTGTTCCCGATTCACCCTTGTTTTCTGTTCATATATTTACTGACTGCTTCCATTTATTTATTCATCAATTGTTGAATAGGGAGGCTCAATTTATGCATCTTTGGGCTCTCCCTCCCTTTACATGTTTTGATATTGCAAAGTACGAGTTTGCTCACCCACACATTTTTTTGTCTCAATTGTTCACTTGTGAAAAAAAAAAAAGTGCAGAGAAAATTTAATGTAACCTAAAAGTGTCAATAGGTAACTTTCATTTCATAAACACTGGCTTTCATACCATTATTGTGAAGTGAAAGCATGTTAATTTGTGTATAAAATTACTTAATTTTGGGTAAAAGACGAAGAAGAGGACAACAATCTACTTGACTTTTTTCTTATACGGTTGTTGGGTTATCATAATCTCTAAAACATTCTAAATAATTATCAAAACGTTTTGAAAAATTGCTATTTATTTAGGTCACCAACGTTAAGTGACGACAATAAACACTGAAGGTGATTTTTACTGACATGTCATTATGACACTCTAGAGACCCAAATGGACATCTTTTAGCCAAGTTGAACCCTAAAGTTACTTGGCTACAAAGGGGTTAATTTGAGAATTTAGAGCTCTATGAGCGAAAACATGTTTCAATACTAGTCATCTTTATCACTTAATAATAGTGACCTAACAATTATCTAATTTCCAAAACGCTAGATAGTTGTTTGAAATGCTTTAAAAGGTTGAGACTAATTTAAAACCACAAATAATACTTGCATTGTATAAATTCTATAATAAAAACAATCTTCATTTGAAGATTATCCTTAAAAAATTATTCAAATTAAATACAGTTTAGTTATTTATATGTATCAAATATATGGACGATCATCATGAATACTTAATCTACTCGCACCATTGATTTGTTCCATCCATTTGGATGCATAAACAATCTATGATCTGAAATAATTTTTGTAGGATAATCTTCTAATACAAAATACAAAATAATAAAATTAAACGATTTCGATTATTTGCTTTTATACTAACAGCCGATTTGGTAACTTGTGTTTTGATTAGATATTTGCTTGTATACTAACCTAGCTCTTAACTTGTACATTATGTTCACTGATATGTTATTTATTTGCTTGTATACTAACCTCTCCAGACATCGATTTGTTATTTGTGATTGATGAAATCCACTCTTTCTTGATAGAAGTCTAGGAAAACACTTTTATAATTTATTCTGTTAACTGCTAAGTTTTGGAAATTAATCTGTGGACCGGCTTCTAAACTAGAAATTAGTGCATACTTAACCGTAGGAAGAGGACTAAAAATTGAGCGTTTCTTATCACAACCTTTTTTCCGTGGCAAAAGAAATACCTGAACAATCATCGTCAGTTTACTCAATCTACTACAACATACAAATCAATAAGTCAAAGCTTCCAATTGCATCCATTGGCAATCAAAAAATTCAAAAGCAATGAGGAAATTAGTCCATCGGTTGCCAACTTGGTCCATGACGTTCTTCATTCCCAGCAATTCTTCCAGCACCGGCACGTACTTGACAGCAACATAAATCTCGATACAAGTCTCCATATGCAGAACTTTGAAAGCGGGACAAGGCCTAGAAGAATAGCAGTCCTTCTCGGCACAACTGGTGTCGAAGACGATTTTCTCAACAAAGGATACGGAGGAGGGATGAGTGTGGAGATGAGGGACTTGGAGCTTGGTTTGGGATATGCCGATCACCATGTTGTCGTAGCGGACTAGAACTGTGGCTGCGTTCACATCTATGGTCGAATTTTCTTCTTCGAACAATATATTGCCATCGTTGTGGTGATCGATACGGGGCCTTTTGATGACGACGTTGATGGTGATTAAGAGCACGGGACATGGTAACTGAGTTTCAGGTACGAAAACACCTCTTAGACGTGTGTTGCAGTAAGTTTCACCCACCACTTCGCAACGTTCACTGGGCATGGCACCAGCGCCCATGGCAAACAACTTCGATTGCGAAATCGGGAATTAACTCGGAACAGAAAACTAAAGTGGAAAGTTGAAGAAGAAGATTAGAGCTTGTGTGCTAGTTCGGTGCAAGAATTGCCCTGGGAAATTCTTCATTCGCAAGAAAAATATTCGACCGTTGGCAGAATTATTTTGTTAATTCAAATCCTTCCCGCTTTTATTAATTTTTTGGTTGGAAAATCCCTCCGCATTTCGGAAAAAGAAAACGTGCTCATTGATGATATATTATATTTTTTTTTTTTTAATGAGGCAATTTTTTTTGTCGTTGTCTATTTGGTGGTGAAATAACGCTTTTGATTTCACTCTCGTGGTGAAAAAGTTGTTAATTAAACTCTTGTGGCAAGGTTTGTTAGCAATTGAGGTTCAAATCCAAATTTCCGTTAGTTTTTCATTAAACAAACTCACGCGACTATCATGTGGAAGGGTCAAATTTGTTATTTCACTCCAAATTATATCTTATATCCTGGACATCTATTTTAACTGAAATTGGCGTGGTTTTCAGGTTTAGTTTCATCTTGCGACGACATTCAAGCTTCTTTTCTGGGAAATCCAATTTTAGTTAAAACCTAAGTTATACTAGATCCAGATGGCATACGAAGTAATTTGGATTGAAATGACGAATTTGACCCCTCTACGTGATAGTCATGTGAGTTTGTTTAACGGAAGACTAACGGAAGTTTGAGTTTGGACCTCAATTGCTAACAAACTTCACCACAATGGTTTAATTAACAACATTTTCACTACAAGGTGAATTAACAGCGACGTGTCACTACAGGGACTGCGAATTTTTTTGACCTTTTTATTGTTTAAAAAGAAAAAACCGTTTCCTCTTTTATTAGTACTATACTTACTACCGTCTCCTTAGTGCAAATGACATTGTTTCTCCAAAAACAAAAAAAATTAAAAAAATCATAAATTTATAATATTATATATATATTCTTACAGAAATTAGATTGAAATGTCCCTAATTTACTAACGTAGATAAAAACAAGGATCAAATTGGCCAAATTAAGAACACATGAATTAAATTGACTCAATAACTAAAACACAAGGATAATTTTAATATTTAAACCAAAAGAGTAACAACAAAATCAAATTTCAAGGTCATTCTATTTCGATAAGAACGACTTTTGCGGTTTAAGTTCGTATGAAAAAAATGAGTAACTAAACATTAAAATTTGAGACTAATACGTTTCGATAAGACCGAACGTGTGCAACGTCTAAGAAACGCCACACGTGCGGTGCATTTTTGGGAATGCGAGTCAGTTACGACTTAAGCCAGAAAAAACCCCAAATTTACGACTTTACCTCACACTTCTTCTCTCCATTAAGCAGCTCTCTCTCCTTCTCACCACCACAGAAGGCAGACCAAAGAACATGGAAACACACGACGACGAGATCGACAATCACGACACCACCGCTTCCTGCACCTCCGCCACAACCTGGACCGTCGCAGGCGGTTCCCTCGAGAATTGCGTCTCATTCGAGTCCTCTTTGTCTCCGATCGATGACGAGACTCCGAAATCCACCCCTGCGTCCTCTCTTATCCTGCACCCTCCATCACCCGATTCGGGCCCTTGCGAGATCACCGGTATGTTCCACAGCTTGTTTTCTCTGAAAACTTTACATTTTGGCCCCAAATTTATTGAATTTGAGCTTTAACCCCCTGATTGTATGAATCCTTGTCCTTTTATATTATTATTGTAGGTTAGGAGCTTGAATAGTGCTATTAAGAGTTTGATTAATAATTTCTGGGACTAAAGTGGACTTTTAATTAGGATTAGGATTGCCTAATTATTAGAACCACGAAGATGAAACGAAGCTAATTAGAGGGTCAATCTTGTACTCGAAAACGAAGATAAATGCAGGATTTTGCATTGTAGTATGAGTTCAACTAGATAATATTTGTGAAAAGCAGCTCTTGGTTGCTAGAAGTAGAAGTAATATCTGTTGGAGTACAAAATTTATTAAGTGGGGTCGGCTGTATGAACCATTGCACTTGGTTTTGCGCAAAGGTTAATGTGGCAATTTACTTAGTACATGCTATTGCAATCAATAAACACCCGTATAAATGCATCAAAGACTCTTTAGTAATGAAAAAAGAATAAACAAATGGTTGAAGTATGAGAGAAACAACTTACTTTTATAGTCTGATTGCAAATGACCAACAATGTTTTCCACTGCAGTTAATTTTACACAAAAACATGAGGTCCAGCAGGTTTATGTTCGAAGTACTGCCCGAGTCTATGAGATATACTATGCACCTGATATGCAGAGTGGCAATGAATATCTCTGCACTGTTCGCTGTGGCATTGCTGCCCGAGATGAAGACATGCTTCACACAGGTGATAATGAAGGTGTTCGTTCTGCAAATTCAAATGGGTCAAATGGGTCGCTGAAGGACCCATCCGAAGATAAGTCAAGAAATGGAAATAGTCTGAACAACAGTGAAGATGACTGGGTTGAAGTGAAAGTCTCAGAGACTAATATGCTTGATAACAAAGTCAATTCGTCGCAATTGAAGTTGCAATCTGCACAGGTATGTTGCTTTTCTCCATCTATATTAATCCCAGTGAACCCCCTCCCACTTTGTTTTTCTTCCGTTTTGTTTGTTCCCGTCTAGTCAATTTCTTTATATGGCGCTCCTCATGCTTGTGGCCACATGTAATTATGTTTTTGTCCATCATCCCTTTACAAAGAAACACTAAGAAACAAGTTTGAAAATTCTGAAGAAGACAGGTGTTCTGGAGTCGGGACCCTATGCGCGCCATAGTAGTTGAGAGGACAAAAAAATTGTATTTATGAGTGCAATCTCCTTTGCATTGTTCTTTGGCCAATCTCCTTTGCACTTTTCCAAGTTAATAACATATCATTACTGGTTCAATGCTTTTCAGATACTTCTTGCAATTGTTAGTGCCCCTTCTGTGCTCGTATTTGCTGGGAGGGGGAGGAGAGAGAGAGTTTTGGTGATAATGGGCTGGGTAGTGTAAACGGGAGAGCACTAATCTATATTGATTATTATCTTTGCTGATCAAGTTCTTGTATTTCAGGAATTTTATGAAGCTACAGCACAGATTAGTGATGCAAGTCCTTGTGTATCCCTCACACTTCGTCTACTGTCACTTGAGAGGAAGATTGCGTATGTGTTGGTGAGGTGTATGTGTTTGCTGATCCAGTTGATACATCTGATTCAGAAAACCAAGTTAGTACTGTGGAAAATTCGGCTGGGAGTTCTCTCATGGCCATGCTTGTGCCTACTCTTTTACAATTTTCTAAAACAAGGGGTGCTAACCGAACACAAGACAAGCCAATTTCTGATACATGGGGAAAACAGAACTCTCTAGTGATTGGGTCAAAAGAAACTGATTCTATCAGTGTGGCAACTAAGATTCAGGAGCAAGCAAAAGCCAGCATACCTGATCACCAAGAAGTAAAGGTTCCAGATGTTAATAGGGCTACTACAAGTACTGCTCAGTTATGTATCCCGTCACAAGTTGAAAGCTCTGTCCACCAGCTGTATTCTCGAATGGGCAGAATAGAGGATCTATTTTTGAGGTTTGAAGAAAAGATGCTAAAACCAATGAGCAGCATTGAGGCAAGGCTTGAAAGGGTAGAGCAGCAACTTGAAGTATTGGTAAACAAATCACATAATTCTGGATTGCCAACATGCTCAAGATTCTATGCTTCTTCTTTCTCATGCAATGAGTCTGAGTCTAACTCTTTCTATAATAATGGAAATGATTATCCCCGTAGTGAGGCATTTGAATCAGGTAAGAAGGACATTCAATCAGATGCACCCCTGACTATACCTAATGACATGTCTGCTTCAGTATATTCTACTCATTTGCTTCCAAGTCTGGTAGTAACTGCTCCTGAATTTTCAAATGGTGATGACGACGACGAGGAGGACGAAGAAGATCATACATCAGATGTAGTGATAGGTTCAGCAGAAAAAACAAGGCCTGCTTTGACAATTGATGATGCTTTAGCATCTGCACTAGCTGGATTCATGTCTTTGACTTCAACCCAACCAGAGAAACATGCTCAAACTCTTTCGGTTAAAGCTCCTGATTTTTTAAATGAAGAAGATGGTAGCATTGAGAGAAAAGAATCGACAAGAGTGGAACATGAAGCAGACACAGATTCTTCCATGTGCCTTGGTGAAGCTGGTGCGACAGAGAACATAAAAGGTTCACTTGCTGATTTGACGAAAAATTCTTCAGAGGGTGAGGGGAATGTGATAAAATCACCTAATGATGAGGAAACTGATAAAACACTCACAGTCGATGGACTGGACCAGCATTATGAGGGTGGACAAGGAGGAAAACTTGATGATGACAAGAGAATTGACAATGCAGTAGATCCAGCCAATGGTGGCATGTCTACAACTGATTTTTGTCAGATAACAGAAGATATTGAAAATGGAGACATCAGCACTGAGATACGCAACATTCTGGACCCTGATAACGCTGATGTTCGAAACCAGTTACCCCAACATCAGACTGATGATGGATATGATAACACGCAGGAAGATGCTAATACAGATTCTGATTTAACTCCTCCAAAGGAAGTGACAGAAGAGAAATCCGACAAAGATGCTTTGAAGAATATCCTCAATTTTTCACATGCTGCTTCTGTGGTGGATTTTGATATTCCAGTTCTGGATGTGAAATTCACTTCTCAGGATAGCTGTGACAATGGCTATTTTTCTCTCGAAGCCCTTTTAACCGAGTTGCCAGAATCAGTGACTGAATCTCCTTCTGTAAAGGAAAGTGACGAGGTGCTCCCAGTTGGCCCTGACGAACATGACTTAATTTTGGTGGACGGGGAGCCAGTTGGTCCCGCCCCTGACGGTAATTTTTCTGTGGATATGGATTTCTATAGTATCGGAGAACCTTTGAGCTTGTGGGGTGACCATACATGCAATAGCCATGAGACATTTGCAGCAAGTCTCATTTGATAGTGCATAAGTTTGTTCACAACTTTGTTGATATGTACATATATTTGAGCTAGACATAATGTACTGATTGTTTCTTTTCTCCTCTCCTTCATTACTCACAAACCAAAACTGAGAGGCACATTTGGACGGGTGGGCAAGGGGCGATTGGTTCCGTTTAGGATTCAAACCGCAGACCGGGGTCGGGATAGTTTCGATTTATGCATCAAACTAGTAGAATAACCGATACAAATGCAATATGCATCTATCTAGTCATAAGTGGTTTCGTTCCGTTCGGTTTGGTTTGGTTTGCTCGGTTTTCTTCTTTTAGTAATTAGGATAAGTGGAGAGAAAAATGTCATCAAATTGAAATGGCATCTAAAGAGCTTTAAATAATCCAAATAAATCTTACGTAGACCTTCTCAGCACTCATTTTCATTTTCTAACGTTGCTTTAGAACCGCCTAATTTCTACATTATTCTTTGCATATCAACTATACAAAAAATCAATCAAATTAGAAAATATTTAAATGTTTGATTGATGTTATCAAAATTTTAGTTAGATTTTAAATAATGGCTAGTATTAAATAGGTGCACACGTTTTACTCGTATTGGTTAAGTCATACGTTCTGTTAGGCTTATTTTCAATCCATAATGGACTAGGCAAAAAGGCAATGTTTCGCTAACTCATAATGGCAAGTGGTGCATTGATTTGACTACATTCCGGATTCAAACTCTCTTTTACTTGTTTAGTTTAGAACAATATTAACGCTTGTAATAATTTTTTTGTATTAATACGTGTCCAGATCCAAATGTGCCTGTCCCACGTGTACAACTTCCCTTTCCATCAGATCCAAAAAAATAAAAATAGAAAACGAAAAAAAAAAATGGAATAAAGGAGAAAGGGTAGTATATTAGCAATATTTCCTTCCACAATTTTCTGAAATTTGAAAATACACTGCGGTCAGTTGTCCGCTTGTAGAGAGGTAAAGTGGAGTACTTGTGTGTTGAACTTTAACACTGAGAGCGTATCTACAGTTCAACTGCTCAGCTAAAACCCCTTTTGTTTCTTGAAATTCTAGGGTTGGGGTTTTTGGGGGAAAGACCAGAATGGAGGCTGCCGTGGTCGACGTCGGCTCCAAGCTCCTCAAAGCAGGACCCGCCGTTCCCGATCAAGCTCCTTCCATGGTAATTGTCAAACCGTATGCTCCAATTTCTTGGTCTCGTTTCGTATTTTCTGTTTGGTTGCTCAGAAAATGTTTTTGGTTTTTTTTTTGGGAAAGATGGAAAATTCCAAATGTGTGAAAGTTCTTTTGGGAAAATGGAAAATTCCAAATGTGTGAAAGTTTGGGCTTGTTTGTTGGTTTCCTATTGCCAGCTAGGATTTGTTTTGATTTCTTAAAGTCGGAATTCTAATTGGGAAATTTACTAGCAATGGCTTGGGGGTTGGGGGGAGGGGGTAGAATCTCTGGTTTCTGGGAAAGTTGTGAGAAAGAGAAGGAAAATTGTGGTTTTTTGTAGCTCCAATTAATATTGCAGCAGAATAATGACTTCATTTGTGAGGGTCTCTGTTTCTCTTGCATCCGTGGCATGGATATCCTCTTGTTGTTGCTCACCAGTTGTTAGGAGAAAAGAATGTGATTTTGTCACGGTTATCCTCTTGGGGGAAATGAAACTTTGTATGGTTGTGTTAGGGTGAGTTGAGTAGACAACTGTGTAACTCAAGTTTGAGCTCTGAAGACTATCCTATTGTTAAATAACCCTTTTTGATATTGGTCTGATGGGAATGTTAATATATCTCAACTTTCCAAACTACATATTCAAAAACTGAAGTTGGCATGGTAATTGTAGATTGTCACATTTCCAATTGGTTCTTACTTTTCATTTCCCTCCCTCCCAACAATCTCCTCTTGTCACATGTATATATCCCTCCTCCTATCTTACTTTCAAGTTTTTAACTCTTATGAAGATGCACACAAATGATGCCTTTGCACACCATTTTCCAGCCCAACAATATTAAAAATATATTCCAGAACCAAAGCTGAAAAAACAGTTGATTCTTTCTGTCATAAATGATGAATTTGCACATCATTTTACTATGTATTCTAGTAAAATTTTGTTTTCTTGGAAGTTGTATATGTCCCAGATAGAGGAATTGATACTGACCTTTGCAAATACTTCTTAATTATTGTATGTGAAAGACTATTAGTATTCAGTTTCCAGCTGATTTGGTCTCTATCCAATTTCAAGGTAATTTGCGCTTGATATGCGCTCAACTTTTCAGTTAATCCGTGATTGTTGGGAAGTCTGAGGAAAAGAAAATCAATCAAGTAGTGAATTTCAGGTCATGGTCTTTATTCTGCAAAAAGAGAAACTTTTGATTTCAAAACAACAAAGGTGGATGTTTCGTAAAGTAAAGTTTTGTTTTAACTTTTAACTTGAATATAGAATCAGAAAAGAAAATTTTCTTTCTCTGGAAACAAAGACCAACATTTTTTTTGGACTTTACCATTAAAATCATTTCTATCTGAAATTACATATCTGGAAAGGAAGTGGTGAATCACTTATACTAAATGTAATGGTTGCATTGTACACAATGAAAATCCGATTCCGCTAACCCAGTAGTAGGTGATGAATCAACATGATTTAATACTGATTTCTTTCTTTTTTTTGTTTTTCATTAACGTTTGTCTTCTGTCATATGTTTCAGATAATTCCTAACCAAATGAAACGGCTTGATTTTGGATCTATGAATGATAGTTCATCACTTGAAGATATCGTTGTTGATCCAGTTGTGCGAGGTCTTATTACTGACTGGGATGCCATGGAAGACCTGTTGCATCATGTTCTATATACTGGCCTTGGATGGGAAATGGGCAACGAAGGGCAGATACTATTTACTGATCCACTTTGTACTCCCAAGGTTAGCTACTATACTTTGCTGAAAATCCGTGTACAGTGTTATTTTCACGTTTTTTAATATATTTTTGTATAGTTTAATTTAATATATTCTATTGTAGTCTAGGCTGGTTCCATTGAGCACACTATCTAAGTTAAAACTTTCAGATATGATTTTATAATTGTTCTTGCCACTATTCTTGTTTAATCATACTTGAAAAAAATTTCTACAGCCTCAAGTTTGTGTTTTATGAATCAGTTGTGTTGTTGTTGCACAGTGTTAAATTTACCTTTCTGACATTATTTCACAATAGAGGAAAATCTTGTAGGGAGGACTAAGGAATCCTTGTTATCTCTCTTAAGAGAAATATCCTAGAAATAGAACTTGCTCTTCATAATTCCTTTTTGTCTTAGTGCAGATAATATATTTTCTCTAAAGAAAAATTAAATTTTTTTTTCTGCCAGGCTGTCAGAGAGCAGTTGGTGCAACTTATGTTTGAGACATTTAACACTTCAGGCTTCTATGCATCAGAGCAAGCAGTATTGTCACTTTATGCTGTTGGACGTATCTCGGGATGTACTGTTGATATTGGCCATGGAAAAATAGGTATATATACCTTGCAGAAGGGAACCTTTATTAGTGGAATCTTGTCTATTGAATGCATAAATTTTTTGAGCTTTTCCTTCGTTTCTATACTGCAGGCCACGTATGTGTAATCTAAAGATAATAAGTCTATCTATTCAGAATTCATTTTATCCTGTCTAGCATACAACCAGTCATTTGACCACCTTCACTATGCAAATATTCATTTTGTTTAAAATTTGTAATGTTTTAATATAATACAGATCTTGCAATATTAGAACGAAATATATTATTGATGGTTGATAGCTATCCCAAGCTATAACCATCTACATAGTGTGCATTGGATGACCATATGATGATATGGTCATGAAAGATGTCATGAAAGATGCACTGGTAGCTGAACTAAAGGGGGCAAGTTTTAGTTAACACATCTGACCTGTTAATGGCGTTGACTCATCTCTGTGCAAACCAGGGAGTCAATATGGGATATGAAAATGTAAGCAAACTGATTGCTTTTTCATTTGTGCCTTTTCTGTATTTTGGCCAATTTTAACAGATATTGCACCAGTCATTGAAGGTGCTGTTCAGCACATTGCCTCAAGAAGGTTTGAAATTGGAGGTACTGATTTGACGAAATTACTTGCTGAAGAGCTTCGGAAATCTAATCCTTTAGTCAATATCAAGATGTCTGATATAGAGAAAATAAAAGAGCAATATTCATGTTGTGCTGAAGATGAACTTGCTTATGGAAAGACCAAAAATTCATGCCAGATAGAGCAACATACCCTTCCTGATGGACAGGTATGGTTCAGTGTTCGAAATTTTGATTGGGATAGATGGAGAAGACACAGATATAGGCACATAGTTGTTTGGCATGTTTTGGCTGAGGATATGTTGACTTCAGTATAATCATATTATGCCTGTAGTTTGCTATTATTTATGCAGTAACTTGCTTGCACTTATCGCAGTTATCTGGTTTTGTTTGGTGACAATCTATTATGTGTTAATTATAAATGTATAACAAGTTTATTGAAAAGTTATCCTCACTAAAATCTTCTCTCATCTTAAATGTTGAATACTAAAAATAAGATCTAGTATACATTCAAACACTTCTATCCTTTAGATATATTTTTTTAAGGTGAATTTTTTTTATTTCTACCTTACGTTTTCTTTTTTATTCTTCGATATGTAAAGTTTGTAAACGTAAGATGATAGGAATCCCATCCCAAGGCATTTAGGTCACAGTTATTGTCATAGCCATCTATTTATGTTCCCCAAACCTTCTTTCCCACCCTCTTTTCTTTCATCGTTCTGCTTTTTCCCGTATAGTTATTATGCTTTACATGTATAATAACTTCATGTAATACTGGTCATTGGTTTAGGTCATTAGGATTGGAAGAGAAAGATATACTGTTGGTGAGGCTTTATTTCAACCATCCATATTGGGTTTAGAGGCTCATGGAATTGTTGAGCAGCTTGTTCGTTGTATTTCAACAGTATCGTCTGATAATCACCGGCAGTTGCTAGAAAATACGGTACTGTGTGGTGGCACTGCTTCTATGATTGGTGAGTACAGTAATTACTAACTAGTAAGATGTATTTTCTTTTTTGCTTTTTTCTTCTCTTGAATACTCTTGTTAGACGAATTTTTGTATACATCACTGTGAGCCCTTTCTTTGGTTGGTTTCATTATCCTTGTCGTCCTTATCATTTTTAACAAAATGGATTCACCAAGTTTTGGGAATCCTTGGTTTCAGAGTTCCTTTTAGATGATTCTTCTTTGGAAGTATATTACAGTGCAAGGCAACAGATATAAGAGCATGGCGAAATTTGAATTTGTCCTTGTTTCAAAAGAAATAGGAAATTTTGGTTCCTTTTTTTTTATGTATTGGCAGTTTGATTGCTGTTTATTTCAGGTTTTGAAGAAAGGTTTCAGAAAGAAGCTGGTCTATGCTCATCAGCTGTTCGTCCTGCTTTAATTAAGGTAATTTATAGTACCATTAAAACTGCAGTTGGGTTTGAGCTTCAGAGTTCAGGGTGGGGTAGGTTTGTAGTTCAAATCTTCCCAAGCAAAAACTCTGAAAGTGATTGGGTGAAATAGTCAACTTTCTTTCACATGGTGGAGATCGTACATATTTGTTTACCTGTAATCAGACAGAACCCTGTATAGGAAGTGCAAATTCTTAGTAATCTTGATGAAATAAGCTTCCAAGGTAAAATTTGAGGTCCAGATACTCTAAATGTATTATAGTCGGTCTCCTAATTGTTTCTGAGGCTGTATACAGTTCACAGCCCAGAGGTTGTGTTGGTTACTGTCATGACATTTCCCTATCTTAGTTGCTACACGTGAACGAGTGATCATAATGTCTTATTGGTTCATCTATTTTTCATAAAACTTTGTACTCATGCACCTGTGGTTATATTTTCTTATTGCTACTGTTATACTTGATAGATTTTGTGCTTTAGCCTTGAACTTGTATTTAAAATGATTAACATGTTCATTGATTTGGAAGTGATTCTTGACATGAAGGCTTTGACTGGATATAAAAAAAGAAGTCTAAATTGATTATGTATGAAATTAATTAATAGAAATATTATTAGTTGATTTGTTGCCGGCGTTGCTCTACTGGAAAAGTGCTATTACAACTTGGATTTGTAAATAGGAGTTGCATTGATCTGGTGTACAGTGAGCTGAATATATGGATACGTTTGTTATTGTACGGTCTTGTAATTATATGCTTGAAATGTCTATACAGTCGTAGCGAACTGTCACATAAAGGATCACTTAATCTTTCATAATTTGTTCACCGCAGTAATGTTAATTGTATTGAAATCAACAAGGTAAGCAATCACTGATTCACTTTCTTAGCCGGACTGAAAGTAATGATTTACGTAACTTCTCCACAATATTTTTTCTGTACTAACTGGACTGCCGATTTCTTCTTCTGATTGTTTTTTGGTGCGGTTTCAATGCAGCCTCCAGAGTATATGCCAGAGAATTTATCAATGTATTCAGCGTGGGTGGGAGGTGCCATACTTGCCAAAGTCGTGTTTCCACAGAACCAACATATAACAAAAGCAGACTACGACGAAACTGGACCTTCTGTTGTTCATCGGAAATGTTTTTGAGTATCTCTTGTCCGTAAAAGGTCTTGGAACTCTTGTTTAGTTTGATTAGCATACTTGTATTATAGTTGTTGGTAACGCTAACACAAGATTTTAGTCGATTAGTGTTTGATTTTTAGTATTCCACCAGTCCTCTCTCTCCCTCTCGAAACTGACGAAAAGTCGATTGGATTGGATTTCCACGGACAAATCCATCAACACATCCAAGCTTTTTGGAAATCAAATTTAGAGATCTAGTTTAGGATATGTTTGGTAAGGGAGCTTCTGTTTTACATTCGACTTCATCCTATACCGCATTTCATCTTGATGCATCAATGTAAACTCTCGAAGAATGGATGGCGAAGACGTCGCTTAGGGAGCTCCGTATGAGTTATGCAAGCCTTTTCTTTCGGGATTTACAAGTCATTGTGCAATTTTTCAAGGTTCTGGGCTCGCGACTTGTTCTGCAAATCGGCACAGAACTAATATAGATATTTCGATTGACCAAAAAATATATATAGATATTTCGAGTGTGGCCAGCCGAACAAGTGTGCCGCTTGATCAGCAGTGACCAGCTGAATGGCAAGAAAACCATTTGGCGCCCCAAGGCCGAACACTCTTTGCAACAAGATCTCTTGTTCAAACTCTAATTATTTTTACGTTACATAATCCTCTATATATATATATATATTGACATGCACAAAGGAACCCAAAAATGGACGAGTAAAATATCTGGTGACTAGCAATGGGCGTGGCAATTTCCAGTAGCCTTTGCTTGTTGCTGCACCGGAATTAACCGACGGGCACGAGGGGAAGAGGGAAGCCTACATATTTTGGTTTCGATTCTGAACTGTATACGGTGAAAGTTCAGGAACCAATTTTATTGTTTACGCGTTAAACTAACTAAGAGCATGTTGGAGAAACAGTTCCGATACGGTTTAAACTGACATTCTCACACGAAGCTTGGGCAGTTTCATCGGCTAGAGGTTTTAGGTTTACGTCTTCTAACAAAATTTCTTGACATCTGAATTCCTTGCTGCAGTCAAATTTCACTGCCACTTTTGAAGCGCTCGTGCCTTTTACATTCTCATATAACACATTGCTTATTTCTACCGCCGAATCCTGCACAAAATGATTGGTATTATAACGTGTTATACTATTACGGCAGTAAGATAACGTGTTATACTATTACAGGAGTTGTTATTAGCACTTTAAAAACTCAACTTGCACCTCTCCAATTGGATTTCTCCTTTCCATATATACATGTTTTGGGTGAATGATGACATTTGTTTAAAGTGCTAATAACAGCTTATAATGATATGCATTCCAAAGAATACTAAAACTTTTCCGCCATTTAATAACTAACAAATTTTGGTTTTACTGTTAAGGTGTCTAACATGTAATGTTGCGGATGAAAATGTAAATTTGGACCGTGAATTCATTACCTGTTCTAGGCACGGTGTTTCCTGATCGCAGTAATGTTGATCTATGATAATTGGATTGCTCACGTTGGCCATCACCACATTTTTGAATCTGATGTTTGTTGCATATCCAGACCCGCCCTATTTACCAAACAAAATTGACCAATGTCATTTGATTTATACATGTACATGAAATAAAATGAAATTTTTTTTCTTATAGAGATCCTCTCCGGAGCTTGCTGACCGAGAATTGAACTGTTTAATTTAAATCTTGTGTTCTCCATTAGTCCATTCTACTGGTCCATCTAACACAATCTCTCTCTCTCTCTCTCTCTCTCTCTCTCTCTCTCTCTAACGCCCATATATCTTACTTGAATGGTCCAAATTGCTCAGTCCGTGAGTTTTGAAACGTGAGAGCCGGAGATGATCTCACTTCTTTTCCTTGTCAAACCGTTAATTGATTGCATTGTATATGTAATGTGTCTATGCATTCCCAATCTTACAGATATATAGTTGAAAATGAAGTCTTACCTGCCAAGTCTTAATTCGCAATCCATTAGTGGTATCCATAAGGTTGGCTCTAGAAACCATCACATCTGAAACCTCTGCTTGTGAATTTCCAGCTCCTAGGCTTCCAATGCTGCAATATGACATAACCAGAACGAGTATGAAATTAATTAGTTCAAATAATCGAAAAATTAATATCATGTAAATGTATCGGATGAAATCTGACCTGATTCCATGACCTGGTCCACATGTTATATCCTCAGCTCGAACATTTTTTGACCCACTTACTATCGAAATACAGTCATCACCTTCAATTGATCAATAACAAGAAAGAAAACATAAATTGTATTAGTTTTGATGAATTACTAGGTTCTTGATTTTTATGTCGACTAAGATTATGTCATGTTATGTTGGACACTAAATTAGGGCATCTCTAATGGAAGATGCAAAATATCTTAAAATGTGTATGCTACATTTTTTTTATTGGCCGAAAGGCGGCAAACTCTCCAATAGAGATATATAAAATATGCATTTTGGCCGAAAGATATAAATAAAAATCTAAATATACATATTTTTTACATCTTTAGTCCGAAAAATGAGATCTCAAATTTCGTTGAAGTAGAACTTCTATCTACATCTCTCAGAAGCGTAAAGTAAGATTTAAATATTGTTTTTACTTCTCAAATTTGCATCTCTCGATTAAAGATACTAATTATATTTTAAACTGATAGTCTAATAACATAAAATGTTAGGAAAATTTCGACACGAGTTTAGGACATGTACCTGTCTTAATGAGACAATTGTTAATCCCAATATTCTGTGTTGCTGATACATGGATTCCATCTGTGTTAGGGCTATCCCCTGGTGCGGTCACTATGAGATTCGAAGCTTTTACATTCACACACGACTCAAAGGATAGATGCATTTTTTGGGCATCTCGGAACCGCAAATTATCCACTTCCAAAGTGTTGCACCCCAAGAAAGTCACGGCCTTTCATCAACAAGAAAAAGAAACAACGAAACAGATGTCAGTATCTAATAGGCAGAATCGAAAATTCAACATCCTAAGAGTGCTTTTTTCATATAATATAATATTTGTTAGGTATAATCATTAGTACTTGGAAATAAATAGGACCCAAAAACTTACATTTGGTGCGGTTGTGCAATGCTGTGAGATAATGCAAGGTTCCACAAAAGAAAAGAAAAGAAAATATGTTAGTCTTTGCATATAGAAATGGGTAATCAAAGTTTAAAGTTAATATAACTTAAGAGTTGTTTGATAATCATTCAGTTTTCATTTTTTTTGTACATTTTTTTTTAAAACTGAAAAAAATATCAAACCATTTTGTTTTTATTTTTGTGTTCAAAGGGGATTTTTTTTTTTTTTTTTTTTTTTTGAGAAATGAAAACTAAACACTAAAAACAACTTTTTTTCAGTTTTGAAAATTTAGCTTGATTTTTGCTTTCAAATTTTGAATTTTAAAACTAAAAAATAGTTTCCAAATAAATTTTTGTTTTTCAAAATTATAAAAACTAAAAACTAAAACGATTGTGAAAATGGTTTCCAAGTCATGCACAACAATAGAATTAGTTATGGCATAACTTACAGGGGATTCGTCAACTTTGCATGAGCTTTGCCACCATTTCCTTCCATTGCCATCGATGGTGCCACCACCTTCAACTCTAAAGTTAGTCAAATTTGCAAACAGAATCCAATGCCGGCTGTCCTTATAATCTGATTGTTTGGCAGAGGCTTCGATGGTCCCATATATCTAGTAAAATGAATCCAATTATTAAGAGCAAATAGTTTTTTTACTGTAAAATTTAAATTGTAAAAGGTACAAGTAATTTTACGTACATGTGTACCAAAATTTTGATACAAATCTTGTTTCATTGGGTTTGATATTCAGTTCTCACGAAAAATGTCATGAACAAGTCAGGCAGTTACAGTAGTAAATAAGGAAAATTAATGAAAGGGCTTGAAAACTTTGAGTTTTAATGATAAGGATAAAATAAAGGGTAAAGTGAATAGTACTAGAATTGACTTTTTAGTATAAAAATATAATTTTTCGTTAAAATGAACAGTACCGTAAACTTTTTGTTAAAACTCTATAGTAAATATGCATGCTATGAACTAAGTCAACAAGTCCTACAGTTGCAATTAGAATATGATTATAATTTATGTTTTGGGTTTATTGCAGCACACCGAATCTAAACCTCAAAGTTTAAATCTTCAAACAAGCTTTCGAACTAGATACTTTATGGACAATACGAATGCATGCATTTCTTATCCCCGATTGTAATTTACATATTTTTTAAAATACATATATCATACGATGACGTAACATGTAAATAGTTATAGGGATATTGTTGATTTTATATACGTATGTAAATGTCCCCCTTCAACGATGAAAAATTCAAAAGTGTTATATATATATATATATATGTATGTATGTATGTATGTATATAGTTAGTAAGTTAGTATTTGACATAAAGTGTGATTGTGTAAATCAGAAGTAAAAATTATGTAAGCAGGATATATATAATCTCTCTATAATATTTTTTATATTTATAATTGTATTACTTAGGGAGCAAGTAATTCTATCTCTATACTATTATAAATAAAGCACAAGACATAGGAAAACCACACAAAAATTCTTTAGCCCCTTCTCTATCTCTTGTCGTCCATCTTTCTTTCTCTCTAAATTTTCACCTACAACAAAAAGTAGTATGTGTGTGTGTGTGTGTGTGTATATGTATGTGTGTGCATATATATATATATATATATGTTCTTTATACTAGTATTTCTATATTCACCCACCCCCTCCTCACCGAGAAATTATAATGTACAGGGTTGGCTTGTCTGGCCCACGCACAAAAAACTCCCATTTCCCCATCCACCCCAGGATTTTTTCATATTCACCTCGTCCCCATTTGTGTCCCATCTCCCTCTCCCTCCACATCCGGTAGTCTCACACAACCTTTCCTCCTCACTATCCAACTATATGATTCTAGTTGCGCACCAAACATATATATTAGGTCGATTGTAGATGGATGGATATATAGTTTGCATGTTATATGTCTGTTTAATGTCGTATATATGTGACTAACCTTGAGCGTGACCTGAGATTTGCAAGGGCCAGAGAAATCCATTGGCTTCAGTTGATAGACCCTATTCCTAGGGACGACGAGCTCAACATCACTTTTAGAAGAACAAGCCTTCTTCCAAGCTTCCGTAAATGCCTATATAAAACACAATTAATTATCAAACGCCAACCAGTTAACAATCCTCACTAATCCTACTCATGATTAAACACATAATCTTCAGGAGAAGAGCTCGAGGAGTATTACGACTGCGGCTCTCCTCGTACAAATGGGTTACCTGGGAATCATCCGATCCGTCTCCTTTTGCTCCAAAGCTATCCACATTTACAGTAACATCCATTGCTGAAGTTGATTGAAGCCGGCGTATTCGATGGTGACGATGAAGATCATGTACAACTAGTGGGTTATCGGGGTCACTACTAAAAGAGAAGGAAAAGGAGACTAATATTATGAGAAGTACACAGAGAAAATGGCTTTGTGAAAACATTTTAACTTTCACTTTTGGGTGCAGACACAATTGCATGTCCACAATTCCAGACGTTCAAGACAGACGCTTGGATTATATGTGGGATGTGATCATGAAGGCCTAGTGCATATATATATATATATATGCATATAGGAGAGTAGTCAAAGCTTTCTACAGAGAGAAGGGAGGGACTTTGAAAATTAGAAGCAATGAAGACATAGAGAGAATCTTCATGAGTCAGAGAGGTATGGAGATTGAGAAGCAGAAAATTGAGAAGAAAGGATTTGGTTGGCAGGTAGTCGACTCTGGTTTCATATAATTAGTTTTCTATCCACTGAAGGAAAAAAAAAAAAAAAAAATATATATATATATATATATATATATATATATATATGATCCACTGAAGGAAAATATATGATGAAATATGAATCATAACGCTCGAGTTTAGTTTGGTTACTGGTGTTTGTTTACCAACACACCAGAAAATACAAATCCTACACCAATTAAAAACTCTCCCTTAAAAAAATAGGCTTATCATATTAACATCCTACAAATTATTGAATAAACTCCACATACTTAATACACCCCACATTTACTTTTTCAATGAAAAATTATCTTAATACAACCCACATACTTTCCCATAATACCCTCACACCTCACATTCCCAATATACACCTTACATTTTCTACATGCACCCCATATTTTCTATACACCCCACATTTCTCAAATCTTATAAAGCTTTTAATCTGAGATTTAAAGCACATGTGGCTTGTTTTCAATTCCACCATTAAAACCCATGTTGTCTGTTTTTAATATTTAGTGGTAATTTTAGGTGTTTAATTCTTTATGTAATCCCCGTGATCCCTAAAAGATGAATACGAACATAAAAGCTTGAATAACGATGTCGTCAAAATCACTAAAGCAATAAAGAATATGAAGTCTTACCTCATGTGAAGCTTCCGAAACATCGATTTCATGTATCATTCGTCAAAAATAATTTTTCTCAATCAACATGTTTGTAGTTTCATTAGTTAGGGTTTTGTTCAACAATGGAGGGTCGAAGGGATTTTGATAGTTGAAGAAGATAAATAATATGTTAAAATTGATTTGGGGTGTATTTAGAAATATTTTTTTTAAAGCTAAGAAGGTCAAAATTGCCATTGCATAGTAGGGTAAATAAATCATTTAATATTAAATTTTAATGTGCGGTGTATTCAACACTTTGTGGGATGCTAATATAAAAAGCCAAAAATAAACATCAATTAAAGATTTAGGAAATAAGCAAGTGACCCTTTACCACAGTGGTGGAGAGGAGTGTTGCCTTTACAATCATGGCGCGGGTTCGAATCCCGTTGACCCTCTAATCTAACAAATCTATTGTTTGACAAAAAAAAAAAAAAAAAGGAAATAAAAACCCAAATAAGAAATTAATCAAACCCATTAAAACGTTTGAGATATATTCTAAAATTAAATCATAAACTAACACATGTTGACCCTCTAATCTAACAAATCTATTGTTTGACAAAAAAAAAAAAAAAATTAGGAAATAAAAACCCAAATAAGAAATTAATCAAACCCATTAAAACGTTTGAGATATATTCTAAAAGTAAATCATAAACTAACACGTGTTATAATAACAGTAAATTTTTAACATCATGTATTAGTATGTCGATTTTTCGCAAATACCGTGTTTGTTGAATGTGAACTTGTAGATAAATGCGTAATTTTCAAAACTTCAAACAAGAGCTAATGATACACATAACTGATTACAAGTCATAGTTAAGTCAAATTCATAAGAGTCATGATTATTGAAAGAAATATGGATTAAAAAATCAAAGTGGCCCAATATTTGGACACTTTTTCTATATGAGCAAGCGGAAGTTATGGTAATCTTCCTTTTAGTTAGTAGCTGTGTTAGGTATAATCTGGCAGTTAGCATTGTTGAACGATGATGCTAATAGCAGGTATTTATCCACTTTTAGTTGGAACTCCCGCGGACATTCAACTAAATTATGATATGGACTTGGAAATCTAATTCAGTTCCCACCTTGAGTGCCAAGACTAGAGCATTGGCATTAACAAAAAAATTATGAAATTCATCTAAATTAAGAGCTTTGTCAAGTCCTCTGGAAAAGTTGTCAAACCATTTTACCATATGTTGTGCCGAAATCTCCTTCATCACCATTATTGTGGCGGCAAATGGAGGGGCGTAGCCTGAATAAGGCGTAGAGTTTACGGAGGAGGCTACGCACTAACTAAGGCGTAGAGTTTACGGAGGAGGCTACGCACTAACCAAGGTGTAGAGTTTTAGGAGAGATTTGTTAGCGCGCCGAGAACACGGTCTGATACACCGAATGTAATAATATAATTGGTTAGAATTTTTTTTCAAGTTTCCATCCAAAATCTCAGTGTGTTTGGGATATAGATGGGAATGCTAGCCTAATGTGAGATTCCTTAATTTTTTCAACAGAAATATCGACAATTTTGTGGATATTTTATCTGAGAATTACAAAAGGAGTACTAGGAGAATCCAAAGGTTTTGCTCCACATCAAAAGGAATCTTGGTGGTGGAATGAGGAGGTACATGAAAAGGTTAAGGCTAAGAAGCAATGTTGCAAAGCCTTATAAAATGATAGAACCAATGAAAATTGTGAGAAGGAGGCAAAGAAAGCCATAAGAGAAGCAAAGCTAGTGACTTTTGACTGCATGTATAAGTGATTAGATACCAAAGAAGGAGAATTAGATATCTATAAACTGGCTATAGTAAGGGAAAGTAAGACAAGATACTTCAAACCAAATACAAATGTTATAATATACATGGACAAGCAAATACAAATATTATAATTTAAGTGGGAAGAAACCACAACTGCTCTGTGTTATTCGTACACCAAAAAATCTCTCTTTATTAGTTTGTTTACCTTTGTTTTTGTTAAGTTTATGTTATTGATTTCTCTTTTGTTTTTCATCTTTAGTTTTCATTTTTTTTTTATTATACTTCCACGTTCCTCTTATCAACCTTCATTCAACTTTATCCTTCATTTTTTTCCCTGTTATTAATAGCAAAAACTTAAAAAAAAAAAAAAAAAAAAAAAAACAGAGAAGAAGAAATAGTTACAAAACCGATCTAAAATAAATCTTAAAACATTGTCATTGTGACTTTTGATCATAAGGTATGAAAAACTTTTTTTTAACTTACGTAATGTGCGGTAAAGAATTGAGCCGAAATTCGTCAGATTTTGACACTAATAAAATCCTTGTCTGGACCTACTTTGATTCATTAACTTTGACAACACCGAAATCCCTAATTTTCTCCCTCATTTTCTTCGATCTTTGATCTTCCTTCCATCCTCTCTTTCTTTCTTCCTCCTCTTCTGTTTCCTCTTGGTCCTGCAGTTTAATCAAATTATAAAAGTCATTAATTAATTAATTAATCTCACTTTGGACCAAATGAAGGGACATGGATCTTCTTCATACCTCACTGTCCGGAATCCAAAGAGTAAAAACATTTGGACCACTCAAATTGAGTATGACGGCCTCCTTTACTCATTCCGCTGACCCACCTCACACAAATCAAAGGCCAGATTTCTTTTTTTCTCTCTTAGACCGTCCAGATTTCATAATCCTTAGACTTTGGACAATAAAGCCTAAAGAAGATCCAAATTCCAAAGGAAATCATCCTCATTCATCCGGACATTAAAGTTCGGAGAGGGTCCAAATTTCAAATGAAGTCATCTCATTCAGTCATATCTCACTTTGGAACCAATTCAGCCTTCTTGAACTTCAGTCATAAACCTTAGAAACGCACTCAATCCTTCTTATTCTTCTTTTCTTCCCCATAACCTATATTAATATTAGTACCAGTATTCCCATTTTCCAACTGAAACTGGATTTGACTCCAAATTCTAACCAATTTTTCAAAACTTATAATTTGAATATGTATAAATAATCTTTAATTTGTGTTGATACGTTGTACCAGTAATACATGATCATCGTGGAAATATGGTGTTAGTTGCCATCCAACAAGGCTTTTAAAACTGCAGAATAATGTCACCAAAAGAAAAAGGGTACTGTTATACACATGCCTCTTTTTTACCTCCTACATACTCTTCTCAATTTCCGGCTGTTGGATCAAATGAATTGAAGAAGATCAAATGACATAAATTAACATGAGTGTGTAAAAGGTAAAAAATGATGTTTGGATAGCACCACCCAAGGAAAAAAAAAGTTTTTTTTTTCTTTTAATGTGAAATATGTTGGGTTTTGTGACTCGAAACTAGGATAATGCAGAAATTAAGTTTGTGCTACATGTCATTTGGTGTCCTATTTGAGTTTGGATTTGACTTCTTAGTTGGATTCCTTGCTTGGTGGATAGATTTAGTTAATTACCTATTTGATTATTAGGATTTGGATTTACTTCCAATTAGGATTAGAATCCTCATTGTAACTTAAGTCTTGTGCCCTATACATAGGACCTTGGGGTTAAGTTTATTTTGTGTGCCGTCACCATTAGTAGTGGGTTTTGGGGTGGAGGTCACTGTTTGGGATCATGAGTGTGTGGAAAACTCATGGCTCATTCATTTGGCAATTTGGTGAAAATCAATTTGTGAGTTAGAGAACACTTTTGGAGAATATTCTCCATTTGTTTTGGGTTCTTTACTTGTTTATTTTAAGGTTTGTAATTTGTGGGTTTGAGTTGTGAGAGTTAAAACACTATTTTGTAATCTCCATTTGTTCAATGAAATTCCTCATTGTGCTTCGCCCATGGACATAGACTTTACGCCGAACCACGTTAATCTCTCATGTTGTTTTGAGTTGATTGTTTTAGCTTTCGCCTATAACTTTGATATTTGATACTTTGTTAGAATTCGCTTCCGCTTAAGCTTAAAAGTACAACAAAATAGTGATTTCATTGGAAAATGTCAATCCATGAGAAAGAGCATTCTAGATTAAATATGGGGGTTAATGCTAGGGAGATCAATTTTTTAATTAATTTTGTAAATCATATGACACGGTTGTTGATGATTGAATTATTACTTAAGTGTTGATTAATGTGGTTATTTCTTATTGGTGACACATTCTTTGGTTTACAAATTTGGTCTACCTAGCATTTGCTAATGCCAAATGTCATTCACCCCTTGATAATTTCTCTAACTCTAATTTCCACCATCATCACTGCTATTGTACTATGTACTACATGATGTTGTCCAAATAGAATCGAGATCCTCTCTAGATCTAGAGAGCCAATGAACTCAGAGATTCGGATCGTTCAAGGAAGGGAGAGAGATTTGGACTC